AATGTCAAAAGCATTATTTAGTGGGAAAATCTAAAGAATGGCTACAGTCTATCCCCCTCCGCTCCTCTTTTTCAAGTTACGCTCCGCTGTCCGAACATTCGCCAATTTTCAAGTATGCGGGTAGTTCAGCTTTTACTGTTAAAGGATGACTGCATGAAGGAAATTTCTGTCTTCTGATTTCAGAAATGTTCCTCTTTTTTATTTAAATTACTTTGCTTGCAATATCTGTTAAGGGAAAACTGATATACGATGAAAATTTAGAAAATGTTCAGAATTTAGATTTAAATTAGTTAAATATCATGAGTGGAAAATAAATTGTATTTATTATTAAGTTCCAGTGAATAGAATAATATGCCTTATTATTATTTATTTCCTCTATTTTGAACTGGAATTTCATCATTAAATCTTGTAATATAGTTTTATTCTGCATAGTTTTTTTTTCTCTCATTGTAAACTAGTTCTGTAAATTGAACTGTTATTTAAAAAATTAAAAAAAAAGTAATTATTTTCCATGGTTGAGGTAATGCTTATTCTCTCTTAATAATACTGCATTTCTCATATTTTAAATTACGAGTCTAATTTTTAAGGTTATGCACAGTTGTGTATAATGCAATTAAACGGGTGCTTATTTTTTTTTCTTAAAATGTGCTTGAAAAGTCCTTGTAGGTGCTTATTTTTTTAACTAAAATGTGGCTATGAACCCTGTCTAATATTTATGTAAAAAATATTTCGGGAAATTTTAAAGAAATGCAAAACCTATGGAGAAAAAAAGTGTTTCTTCCTTTTTTAGGACTTGTGTAAATCCCATTCCCATTATTTATCCTCCCATGTAAATGTTAGAGAATTATGGGTGGCTGATAAAACAGGATTGAATATTTTTCGTAAAACAATGAACTATAAACGTTTTCTTTTCATTCGTGCCTTATGATTTGGTGATGTCGGAACACGAGATGGCAGAAGAAAGAGTGATAAATTAGCTCCAATAAGATATTTGTTTGAAAATTTTGTCAAGAATTGTCAGAAATTATATCATGTAGGGGAATACATGACTAGACGAAGAGCTAGAACCTTTCAAGGACGAACTCCTTTCTTAAGTATATGCCTGAGAAACCTGTAAGATATTGTATAAAGATATTTACTGTGGTTGATTTTAGAACCTTCTATACTTTCAACATGGAAATTTATTCAGGTCAGTAGCCAGATGGGCCATACATGAAAGTCAACAGTTCTTGTGAAAAAGCAAAGCGCATCCTTACTCCATTATACAATTCAGGAAGAAACGTTACCACAGTTGGTATACCAGTTTATAAATTGGCCAATTTCTTACAGGAAAATAAAATTTCTATCGTTGGAACAATATGCAGGGATGAGAAGATTATCCCACCTGAATTTGTGTCGAATAAGAATAAAGAAAAGCATTCAACCCTCTTCGGGTTTCAAAAGGATATAATGCTACTTTCTTATATGGCTAAAAAGAACAAATGTGTCAACCTTTGTCAACTATGCACAATGATGACCATATTGATGAAAGCACGGGAGATTTGAAAAAATCTGAAATAATTACGTTTTATAACATGACAAAAGGTTTGGTTTATTGAGATTATAAAGTACACTAGGGCTATCTGCTTAAAGGGAGGGATGCCTTCGTGGAGGACTTTCTAAGAGAAACTGGCTTGTATACACGTTACACATGGGGAAAATCACGAAAACGCCCATGCAGCCAGCCTGTTTGCAGGATTTGAACCTTGAACCGGATTACCAGTGTTCAGCGGCTTTACCGCTCAGCTGCTGGTGGACCCCATGAAAAAAAGGAGCAGTTGATATAATCGACGAAATGGGTGGCACTTACTCTGTGGCCAGAGTATCAAACCGATGGCCTATGGGCATATTTTTTGTTATTAAATATTGCCAGCATAAATTCAAAGATCTTGCTTTCATCTATTAAAACTCCGCCAGAGAAGTTCAGGAATAAGAGGCACTTCTGATTTGGCCTTTGCATTTTTAAATCCTCATTTAAAATCACGACAGAAACAGAAGGAATACAACGAAGATTCTCTTGAAGATTCACAAACAAAGAAAAGAAAATTATGTTACCGGAGATGTTACATGTGCTCAGGGGAAAAAGACATAATCAAAAAACTATACGTGTGAAGTGTAAAAAAAAAATATACTATGTCAAGAACACTGTGAAATAGAAGCTTCATTCAAACTACAAAATATCTAATTCTTCTTGAGCCTAATTGATTTGAAAATTAGTTATATAACTCATTTTCCGTGTAATAATTCTGCATAATTTTGGATTATAATTGCATTCAAAAATAAAAAACAAATTTCTCATAGAAATCAATTATTCCTAGTCATATGAAGAAAATGTAAGTACTTTTGATTTATTTGTCATTAATTTTAAAAGTAACCTTATTTTTAAGCAATTTTATATAATAAATGTTATAATTAATATAGAATTCATTATTTTACATTATTACATTTGTACGTCGTCTAATTGCAACGCACGTTCTCGTGTTACATAATAATACAGCCCGCGTCCTCCCGGGTTAACTATACACCGCTAAATGTCATGGTTAACCTATTTATTGTACTTCTATATATATCTTATAACTTGACTGTACACCGCTGAAATCAACGCTTCCATATGTTAAATATCTTGCAACGTAACTAACTATACACCGCTAAAATCATCGCCGATTTGGCGTTGGTGAGCTTGGCGAATAAATACGCACCGACACCAACGGATCCACTGCGGAAGAAAACCCAGACTTTGTACTGTGTATATATATATACATGTACTCATAATTTGAAAACTTATCAAAAGTATAATTCTTTGTGAATGTGGTCGTCAAACTTTATTGAACTCCAGTAAATAATTTTTTGAGCTCTTATAAATTTCTAAGAAATTTTAAATATATCCGTATTGTGGACTTTTTAAGTGGGAGGGGAGCGTCTATAATAAGTTTCACTAGTAAAAAGATCTAATTCATATTTTAATAAGGGACAACAATGCAGATCGAGAATATTTAATTGTGATTATTTTGCAGTTCACATTTTAAAAATACTTCAAATTTAGACTGTAGTAATTAAAAAAAGCAGTTGAACTGTGCTTATAATGAATGAACATTTTAATCCCATCCAGTTTCCTATATGCCATGGGGGCATGTTTAGCCTTTTGTTTAATTGTTTGTTTAGTTTTAATTTATGAATATATAAAACTGTTATGCATGTTTTGGTATCCATCAGCATTATGTTCACTTAAAACACATTAAAAGTGTTCTAGATATGGATAAATGCATATATGTTTTTGGAAAGGAGAAATGAGCTAGCAATGGTGAAAAGGGTGCATGAATCAAAAAATGTTGAGCATCCCTGCTATCCACTGAATGTTATTTTATAGTGTTATAATGAACCTCTAAAACTATAAAAAATCATATAAAAAACTGTATGAATATTTTCTGTTAAAATTTTTCCCCCAAGAATTTGTCTTAACTTTTAACAAATTACCAACTTTTAAAATATTTCATGTTTAGGATGTTAGGATCCCCATTTAACCTGCAAATGGAAAACACATTTATAGTGCTTTTCAGGGTCCATGTTTGAAATTGATTCAGTCATTTCAAAATATCATTTGTCACTGCTATAGATTTATGCATTCTTGAGCAGAAGAGTTGAATGCCCATGATGTGATGTTACAAACAGCTTAATATGTGTGAAAGTGCTGTGGTTACTGGAACAGATTATATGCAATAAAATGATAAATATTCTTAAAATTTTCTTCGGAAATGAAATGTGGATACTTGTCTATTTTTACATTCGCTCTTCACAGGCTTGGCAAAATTATAGCCAAGATCTTGGCACAAATCTAAAATCGCCAAATATGATTGAGGGATTCTATAACATCAAGTATCATCTTTTGTACTAAAGGAACTGATATGCAACAGACCAGTATGATCACTTCATGTAAAGGAATCCAAATTCAACAGAACACTTAACTGATTCAAATGGTCAGCAAAAACGAAATTAGATCAGTATGACCAGAATTCTTATATTTACTTGATTCTGATGATCAGTGACAACAAAATTAGGTCAAGGCAATTTTTCCTTTAGTTCTGAATATACTTAACTAAAAGTCATCAGACATTATGTAATTATCTTCAACATACCCATATAAATATTTGACAGATGTTTAAGATATTTTTTTAAGCATAACTTGAATAGAATGACATAATAATTACAGCTCAGTGAAGAATGCATAATGTTATATGGCTCTTCAGAAGTAATAGCTAGGGAATCTTTTTTTTTTTTTTTTTTTTTTTTTTTTTTTTTCCCTGCTGTCTGCCAATTGCACTAACCAAAATTCAAATCTTGGGGGGGGTGGCCAAATCGCTCTTGCGAGTTGAAAGTGAAGGGAGAAAAAGCTAATGAGCAGTTTTTGATTTGTTACATCAAATTTGCTAAAACTTTATTAAACTTTTTTTGACATAATCAAAAGAAACCATCCTAATTTAAACTTTTTTTGACATAATCAAAAGAAACCATCCTAATTGGGTACCTTTATCAGCCCCGCAGAGGATGGTCTTTGATAAATCAGATAAACATCTGCATAATAAATCTGAATGAGAATAATTAACAGTTAAAATTATATACAGCTTTTTTAAACTGAATAAGTTTTGCTGCATATGTTATAAGGAAATATTTTTAATTTCCAGAGGTAAATAAGAAAGAAGTTGTAGAACCTGTAACTATTTTGGAGACTCCACCCATGATGATTGTTGGAGTTGTAGGATATATCGAGACTCCTAAAGGATTGAGAGCATTCAAAACTGTTTGGGCTGAGCATCTCAGTGAAGACTGCAGGCGACGATTCTACAAAAATTGGTAATGAAAATAACAAATATATAAAATTTCTTTTTCCTTCCAAACATCGAATAGTATATTCTATTGTCCTATGAGTCTTTATTTAATGATTGCCAATTTACCTGGAGACAGTGTGTAAAGAATAAAAGTCGGACTGTTTATTGTTCAAATTGGACATTTCTATTTATTTTTAGAGCTTTCTTAGAATAATTTACTTGCAGTATAAATATAATTTTCATAGAGGTCTTGATCTATGGAATGGTATTAAATTCTTAATAATTGCATTTTGGTGAATTTTTGAAGTTGAATAATGTATCACTAATTGAAAATTTTTCATGTTTTTAAAAAATGCTGTATGGAATAATGACAAGTGTAATTAGCAGTCAATATCATTTAAATTTGTTGATTTTTCACTTGCCTGTATTGAGATTCAAACATAAATAACATTTTATATTATAAATAGAGGCAAAATGCAGAAATTATAAAGGAAAAGTATTTTTTTTTTTACTGTAAAATAATCTGAAACTTCTAAATAACATGGCAACAAATTTAACGTCATTTCTATAAATGGTTCTGCAGCATGCTGTAAAACTAACTTTAAACCAGCTTAAAAAATGTCTAGTCAATGCAGCATTTGTAGCTATTTATCATTGCAGTCGCTCTTCTAAAAAAACCTAATATGTATTAGTGGTGGTTAAAAATCTTCTGTAGGCTTCTTTTTAGGCCAGCGAGTTACATTTAAATTATGGTTATTAATTTATTGCTGTTTTCAATATTAATGAAGTAATTAGTTGTAAGTAGTATGCTTAAATTCATACTGAATTTTTTTTACAAATAAACTGGTGTTAATTATTTGCTGGTAAATAGCACTTTGAACGTATGAGTGAAGTAATTAGCTGTAAGTAGTATGCTTAAATTCATACTAATTTTTTTTTACTAATAAATCACCTGGTGTTAATTATTTGCTGGTAAATAGCACTTTGAACTTATAATTCCTTTTATATGCTGTAAAACTAACTTTAAACCAGCTTAAAAAATGTCTAGTCAATGCAGCATTTGTAGCTATTTATCATTGCAGTCGCTCTTTTAAAAAAACCTAATATGTATTAGTGGTGGTTAAAAATCTTGTGTAGGCTTCTTTTTAGGCCAGTGAGTTACATTTTAATTATGGTTATTAATTTATTGCTGTTTTTCAATATTAATGAAGTAATTAGTTGTAAGTAGTATCTATGGATATATGGAGAGAAAAAGGTGAATTTAATAAATCCTTAAGTGTAATTGCATGGGTCCAATTAGAAATTAATATTGATTAAAATGAATCTTATTTGTTTTTAAATTACTTTGTTAATTAATAGTAGACTTAGTTTATTAAAATGAATTATCTTATGCATTGGTGAATGATGAAGCACTGTTGAGTTGAAAAATAAAAACATTTTAATTTGGGGTTTGGCAACATTCTTATCACTGAAATTAGGATAAAATTAAGAACATGAATACCTTGCTTTTTGCAGAGTAACAATAAAAAACTTTATGGATGAAACACACCCTTACCACATTATATTATTTATATAATACGCATAAAACATTAAATTTCTTTTAAAATGATTGCGAGTTGGTATTGTACTAGCAAAATTTTACTTTTTTTATCAATTTCTGAATTCAAATTATCCCTGTCAGTGTTTAATCCCCCCAAAGCATGAATATGATAGTGGCGTTACTTCAGAGTGCCTCCTGCTCTATATCAGCCACATTTTGAGGCCTTGTTCCAGCATATAGATTAATAATAATGTAGATACTGCATTTCTTTGTTCTAGATCAGAGTTTCTGAAACTGTGGATTGCCAAAAGTTTTAGCAGTTTTGATATTTCTTTAACTTATTATAATTTAACAATTACCAAATATTTTTACACAGTGTACCTGAAAATATATAAAGAGAAAGAAAAAATGAAACCGTTTCGACTTATTCTTTTTATAATATAAACTTTCATTTTACTTGCTTTGCACGTGATGCTGTCATTTAATGTGTTACTTATTTAAAATAATTGCATTATTCTGTGTCTTAAAATTAGAAATTAAAGTTAATGACCCAGATCTGCAGTAGTATATTAAGTACAAGTGAAAAATTGACAGTTTAACTTGCATTCGTATCGGATTTGCACAATGCTTATGGGGGTCCCACAAAATTTTCGTAATTGGGTCCTGGAGTTGTGAAAAAAATCTCGGTGATAAAAAGGCATTGCCACTGAAAAGTTTAAGAAGCCCTGTTCTAGACAATGGATTAAATACTTTTATCTGCCTGCTCTTTAACAGTTGAAACATGATGAAGCTGATTTTGCGATTACCGGTGTAGGATTTTTGACCATTATCTGGGCACTCGGGAAAAGAAACATTAGAATTTTGTAATCAAATTGGTTTAAAACTCAATAATATAAGATTATTGTATGATCGTGAAATAGTTAGTTTTTAAATAATCATTTGTAAATAGGATGTGTAATTGATTTTTAATTTTGTTTACTTCAAAGGTACAAATCAAAGAAGAAGGCTTTTACTAAATATTCTAAGAAGTGGCAGGATGAAGTAGGCAAAAAAGAAATTGAAAAGGAATTCAAGAAGATGGCTAAATACTGCAAGGTTATTCGAGTGATTGCTCACACTCAGGTACTTGATTTTGTCATGTCTTTTTTGTAAATATTTTCTGCTATGTATTTTTCAAAAGATGTATTTATTGTTTTTATTTATGTATATATGTTTATTAGATGAAATTGATGAGAAAACGTCAGAAGAAGGCTCACATCATGGAAATTCAGTTGAATGGTGGCAACATCAGTCAAAAGATCAAGTGGGCTCGTGATCATCTAGAAAAACCTGTTCCACTAAGCCAAGTTTTTGCTCAGGATGAAATGATAGATGTAATTGGTGTTACCAAAGGAAAGGGATTCAAAGGTACTAATTAGCTACATTTGACATACTGCCTAAATTTGAATTAAATATGAAATTAAAAAATAACTTCACTTTCAATGTGGTTACCTGTGAGCTACAGTGAAGGCAAAATACTACCACGTTTTGTAGTGGTATGAATTGGCCTTTTCCTGAGAGTGAAACATAGGTCCCATATAATGCTGTTGTTAAATAAGGCTTAGAGATTTAGTCTACTACAGAAATTTAAAATTGCTCTTAATATGCAGCTGGAAGTGGCCTGTCAGTTTGTTCTATATTTGCTGACTGTATGACTCCATGTATAAAAAATTAATCCCTATATCCCACAAGTAAGAAATATGAAATATTTCTGTATATTTGATGGTGATTGTTTAATGACAGTATGATAGCTACAGAAACTGTTAGTGATCACTAAAAAGGTCAGTGTTTCAAACTCCAGGAAAACACTTAAAATAATTACTAATTAAACTCTCCCCTTCCCCAATGGACTGTTATCAGATGCTTCTGCAATCATTATCAGTGCTCCTGTTAAGTTCTTCAATATTGTCTTTTCTGTGTGTTTCCTATAATGTTTATTCCATCATGGATGCTAACAGTGCTCTTAAAATCGTATTTCATGGCCTTGACTTTTAACTGTTCAAGCAGGGAGTTGCCTATGCTGCAAATTAGCTGACTTTTATTTGAAGTGATACTTTACTGAATTTTTAACATACTAGTAACCATTTCTTTCTATAATATACATTAAAACTGTTTATTTTCAATGTGTAGGCATATTTAGGATTTGCCTTGTTTCTACTATATAATTAATATATTATAACTGAAATAGTCTTGATATAGTTTATATTTTTGCTTATGTTATAACACTTTATTTTAATGTCAGGTGTTACAAGTCGATGGCATACAAAAAAGTTACCCCGGAAAACACACAAAGGTCTGCGTAAAGTTGCTTGTATTGGAGCATGGCATCCAAGTAGAGTTCAGTTTACTGTTGCTAGAGCAGGTCAGAAAGGATATCACCATAGAACTGAAATAAATAAAAAAATTTACCGTATCGGTCAAGGTATTCATACTAAAGATGGCAAGGTAGTGAAGAACAATGCATCAACCGAGTACGACCTGACTGAAAAGACTATTACTCCAATGGTTTGTAATTAAAGTAGCTTTACAGTATGATATATTTAATATGGAAATAATTAAGTTGAAGATATAATAATGCTCAATTATTTATAGGGTGGCTTCCCTCATTATGGTGAAGTGAATTGTGATTATCTAATGCTAAAGGGATGTATCATGGGACCGAAAAAGAGAGTTATTACTTTGAGGAAGGTAAAATTTGTTTGCTGTATGACATACTAATGTGAATTTAAATGTAGAAAAAATGTTTAGATCTTTTATTTTATAAAATATATATGCTTTTCAGAAGTACCTGTGAGCTACAGTGAAGGCAAAATACTACCACGTTTTGTAGTGGTATGAATTAGCCTTTTCATGAGAATTTTTCAGAAGTACCTGTGAGCTGCAGTGAAGGCAAAATACTACCACATTTTGTAGTGGTATGAATTAGCCTTTTCAGAAGTAAAACACAATATAATAGAGAACTATAAAGACTCATTTTACATCGCATGAACACAAGTTCTATTTTAAAATATTTCTATCAAGTTTTATTGCAAATAACCTTGAATACTGTATAAAATTTTTCAGTTGCAAAATGATTTTATTGATAAATAATGTGTATTAAATCATAATCCAAGTAAGTAATGTAATAAAAGCTACTACTTCATAACTTAGAAACATGAAAATTGTTTTATTAAAAATGGTAAAAATGTTAGTCTAATCCTACAAAATTGTATTAATTCATGTTCATGAATGGATATAATTTAGGTGCTGAAATCCTTTGCCTATGATGAACTACTGAGAGCCAAAACACTTAAGACAAATAGTATGGTTATCAATGATAGGACTGAGGCTGTGTCTTCGAATCATTTTAAACCAAGTTTGTTTTCAGGTTGACCACTGTTAATACTTTCATATTAGGTCTAGTGCAAAAATCGTTTTTTAGTGTTTTGTATTTATATAGATCAGGTAACATCTTATGAGTAATAAGACTAAAACTCAAATTCAGCAAAAGATATTTGACTAGCCAAATTAACGCGTTCACGCTGGTGGCCGCACTAGTCTGTCTCATCGGGTGGTACACATTCGATTGTGTTATTAGATTGCTTCTATTGATATTTCTTCTTTTATTGATGGATTCATCAGACGAATCACTTATTTCCATATCCCGATTATCTATTATTTATAAGGCCAAAAATAAAAAAAAAAATTCTGCCTTTCTAGTTATAATTTTTGGCCGAAATCTGAGGTTAAGATGAAAAAAACCGAACGAGTTAAGCAACTTGCAAAATAAGTACTCAGTATACTATTAGCAAACGTACGACTCGTATAAAGGTCTGAACAGGTAATAAGTGCGCACTGCCAGAAGAAACGCGGCAAAAATTCTAGCGCTGCCTTACGGCGAAGAACATCAAATCTGGTCCCGGCGTGAACATGTTAAAGTCATCAAGCTTTCTCTGCACTTTTTTTTTTTTGCTTCATTTAGCCAAAAGTAGTGTATTTAAATTTTATTCAGAATTCACGAATTCAAAAGTTGTAAATGTAAATTACAATTTTTAATTGAATAACTCCTTTATTTCTTAATTGTCAGAAAAAAATAATGAGCATGTAATATTTTATGAAATTCTAATATATTTCAGGTAACGCCAGTTAAAAGCATAAAAGCCTATATGTTTAGCATTCAGTCTTAGAGAATGGGTATCTAAGGGTGAGAAAGTGGATGTTTCAGGAAGAAGCAATAAGATCAAATACTTGTCCAGTTATGTCACATTTTCAAAAGAATACAACCATACTGATTTTTCATTATAATTAATTCTGTTTACTTTTCATTTTCCAAATCAGGTTGAATAGTATCAGTTATAATGATCTTGCCTGAGAAAGGCATTTGTTGAGAAACTGTAGAATTGTAGTTAAGAACAGTTTATTTTGTGTTATTTTCTGTTAGCAACAGTGAAAATATTGCCAACATGGTCAAATAGGGTTAAGAAGTCAAGTGAGAGCTTCCTTGGAGGGTGACTAGGTTTTCATTAGCAAAAGATTTTACTTTGTCTTACGAATTTAATTTAGCAAAATCTGCTAAAGATAAGGAATAAATAATCCCTGTCTTGTATGTAAAGAGAAAAATAAACCTCTAAACTTAGTAAATGATTAGAGGAAGATGAGTCTGTTTTTTCTTTTCATGCATGTATGACACATGCCAATTTAGGTGTTTTATGTTGAATTAATCTTCGATGATGAAATAGCCTATATAGAAAGCTCTAAAAAGACTGAAGCAAATATAAATTAAAAATTTTTTGTCTGCATCTAATACTTTTTCTTGCATAAGTTATCATGAAGTATTTTAGCTGCATGGCGTGTTGTTGCTTCTGAAATTACTGAAACATTTTAGCCTGTGATGACCTTTTTAGAGCCTAAAAACTTAAGACAAACAGCATGGTTATCAATGATAGGACTGAGGCTAAAACTTTGTAAAATCATTTTAAACATGGAATTTTGCATTACTTAAAATTCTAAGAAAATTTAGATTTAAAAGTCTACATTTTGTAGTAAAGGTGAGGTTGATTTTTAATCAGTTAATTTGATTTTGTTATAGCCAATGAATTGTAAAATATCTTGCCTGTGATGACCTTCTTAGAGCCTAAATCTTTAAGACTGAATATTATGGTTATCAATGATAGGACTGAGGCAGGATATTTAAGGATTAAGTAAATCTCTAAAGGTTTGAATTGTATGGTAGGTTCGTCCTTATATGATTGTAGTTACTGTTATTCTGCTATCATTTTTAAACTGTCAGAACTTCTGTTTTTTATCTATATGTGTATATATATATATATATATATATATACACAATTTATGATAACCAATGTATATATATAATCATTGGTTATCATAAGGAAAATCATGATTACTGAAAAAACGTTACATGTAGAATTTAATGAAACTTACCCGCAATATACAACACATAGTAAGGTATCATATAACATAAGAAGAAATTACCAGACAAATATGGTAGTATAGAAATTAGCACATGTATAAAATGAACAAATCGAAGGTGTCAGTTTGCTATAGGAAAAGTACCTTCAATATGTAATATGATTCCCTCTAGAAGCAATACAGTGATGTGTGATGCTTTCAATTATGCAGTCTATCAGTTCCATAGGAAGTGAGAGCCACTGCTCTTGCAAAGCAGTTGCAAGCTCGACAAGACTGAGGGGGCCGGATTGAGAGCAGCCAGATGTCTTCCTAAAGCATCCCAAACGTGCTCGATAGGATTAAAGTCCGGGGATTGAACTTGTCACTCCATGTGCATAATTGTTTCCTGTTGAAGATAATCATCTACGATGCGAGCCCTGTGTGGTCTTGCGTTGTTGTCCTGTAACAGGAAAGCATCACCTATTGTCCCGGCATATGGGCGCACATAAACATCAAGGATGTCATCTCTATAAATCTGAACATTCACGGTACCCCTTGGAAAGACATGGAGGTCTGTGCGTCCACCCAAAGAGATGCCATCCCAAACACAGACACTGCCCCTTCCGTATACATCTCTTTCACAGATGTTTGACGGATGGTAACGGGTTCTAGGTTCTCTTCATATCAAATAACGCATACTATCACTTTCTAGACTAAACCTGGACTCATCCGTAATGAGAACGCCCTCCATTGATCAGGCGTCCGTTGGATATGTTGTCGTGCCCACTGAAAACGGTCCCTCCTATGGCGTGATGTGAGCGGCACACAAATAGCTGGTGGCCTCACATACAGACTGCCTTAAGCCTTCTACGCACAGTTGACGTTGACGTGAACCTTCCAGTGGCTGCAGCAAGGGAGGATCTAAGAAGAGTCGGAGTAGCGGTTCTATTCCTACGGGCACATAATGTACAATATCGGTCTTTTGCACTCGTAGCAGCCGGCCGTCCTTGGCTGAATCTCCTAGATGCCGAATCTGTGGTTTGAAATCGCCTCCAAAGTCTATGAACCAGAGAAGGACTCACATTTAGCCATCTGGCCACCTTCTGTTTGACTTTGTCCTGCCTCTAGTCTCCCAATGGCTTTATGTCGTAGTTCTGCAGGCAAATGATGCCTGGAGGTCATTGTTACGAATTGGCTATCTCAGATTTCTGATGTCACTGTCACACTGAAATATGTGTGGGCTTGCTCTCAAACATGGACTTTTATGCTCCTCGCAGATGACGTATTCCGAAAGCAGTTCCACTAATTTGCATATCACACTCAGCTACTTTTACTTGGCATCATATTAAAATTTAGATGGTTTAGCTTATTTTTGAGGGAGTTATCACTATTTTTGTCATTTTTCCTTAATTTATGATAACCAGTATTTCAGCACTTAACAGCTATTCGAAAAGAAATCCATTTTGTATGTATATATATATCAATCATCACTTACTATAGCTATTTTAAAAGAAATCCATTTTGCACCATCATTGGTTAAAAAATCCATTTTCCTGCTGCTATATATATTTAAATGTTTTGAAATGATTTATCTGTTGAGCCTACCACACTTTACTATTACCATTCAAAGAGCTTTATTCTGAATTCTGTTTAATTAAATTTTTCATTAATGATTGACAATAGAGGCTTTATTTTCTGTTTAGCATGAAGTATCTGGAACATTTTGTGTTATCTTAGAAAATGGCCATAAATTGAAGCATTTCTGCCTGTACTAACTTGAGTAACATTTGAGGCATATAGCAAGCTTATCAGATATTACAAGCTGACCATGTCCCTGAAATTGGATGCATGGAATATATGTTTTATTGAGTATTCATCAAACTGTTTTGTGTGCACTTACATTCATTGAAGATCTTTGATGTGATAAACAAATTTAGCCAGAATATCCATATAGTTATTAAGTAGAACTCATTTCTCGTCTCCAAATATTTGATCCATTTTTAGCATTTGTTAGCCAAAGTAGAAATATCTAACAATTTACATTACTTTCAGCTTTGGCTAGCCATTTTTGTGTTCAGTTATTGCTTTTAATGATTAGATTGGATTGAGAAAGAAGTGATTAGGAAGGTATATTTGCTATTTAATGGTGCAATTCTTAAAAGTAACATTTTATCACTAGTACCATACTTTAATCTACATAAAAATCTCCATGCATCATACAAAATAAATGTGGCATAAATCAGTTTTTCAAAGGTGTAGAAACCCCATAAAACAACATAAACAAATAATTTTTTAATTACTAACCTTCTGAGTGCCATGAACAGACCAGGCATAGATTTTTTTATCACTTGGTTATATAGTAGCTTATAATTTAAGATAGTCTGCTTTCTTTATTAATGTTGAATGTCATCTTAATACCGTATTTGACAGCATATAAGAAAACACGGTACCACAATAACTTAAAATGTGTTTTCTTTTAGTTATCATGTTTCGTAAAAGCCAAATAAACAATCATTGAATGCAATTACCAAACATATTTTTATTAAGAAAAATTAACAAACGGCAAGCTTTTGAACAATATGTAAATTTCAATAAGAATAATGAATGAACGGCAAGTATCAAAATAATACAAATAAAGCAGAAAACACAAAAAACACAGATTCAAGGAAAAGTTGCCTATCATGAAATTAGACTTAATCACTTTCAAACCATAAAAATCCTTTTCATATCATCATCATCGAAAGCGAATTGTGATTCACTACTGTTTCCGTCGTTGCAGTAACAGGGTTCGTGCGTCCTTATAAGAGCTGATTTGAAATAATAAATCTTATAGTCTTCTTTTTCTTAAAGCCTTTTTTTTTTTTTTTTTTTTTTTTTTAATGACGTGCTATTTTCCCCGGTACCAATATGTTTCTCCGAAACTAAAAACTTTGTTCCTAATATAAATGTCAGGTGTGAAATATCTCCCGGAAAGCTTTTCTCCCCCTTTCTCTGCATTAACATACCGTGGTGCCCATCATTCTAATGGTCAAGGAATCCGTAAGCAGTAGAAAATTCCGCTACACCTCGGCATTCTTTTCCTCCCTCCCAAATGCTACACACGTTTGAATTTCTATCAAGATCTTAAAATTTTGCATTCTCGTTCCGCTTGGTCAATTCATATTAGTGTTTATTATGATCATTATGCTTATATTATATGTAGATGTTTATATAGTTGCAGTAACTGCTGAAATATATAAATGGTATAGTAATTTTGGATTAACTTCCAAAAATGTTGTGTTTTAAAACAATTACTCTAAGGAAATTCGACTGGCTAATAAAGGGGAAGTATCGAATTCAAATAATTTTATTTTTTTGCAACATTATACAGTACAAGATTGGGAAGGTTCTCCCGTTTTCTCCGAAATCTGGATATTGAAGCTGTTACAGTTCATACAAAAAGCAACAGACTTTTTTTTTTTAAGTCACTTTTCAATCTGGATTAAATAGGACTAAAAGTTCTGCAGTCTACCAAGCAAAGAATGATTCTATTCCGGAAATTTAACGTCGTCTGTTGAAAATTAGAATGAGAAACACCAATGTTATTTAGTCCTTTATTCTCCCAATACCGGCAGCAGTTGATTCCAATTGCATAATATCACGTAGGGAAGAATGACGCACATATTGCACAATAACGTTTGCAATATTTTGCAGAGATAATTATTAATTTTGATGTTCTGTCCGAGATTTGTTTATGACACTTACAAGATTTTTATTGTGCTTGCTAAGCAGAATATTTTTCGTTCCGTTGGTTTATTTTTTATGATGCGCATATAAAATGTCAAAAGCTTTATTTAGCAGAAAATCTAAAGAGCGGCTACAGTTCCCCCCGCCTCTCTTTTAAGCTACGCTCGGCTGTCCGATATTCGCCATTCCAAGTATGGGGTTAGTTAAGCTTTTCTGTTAAAGGATGACTGCATGAAGCAAATTTCTGTCTTCTGATTTCAGAATGTTCCTCGTTTTTTTAAATTATTTGTTGTAGTTCTATTAAGGGAAGTGGATATACAATGAAAATTTGATTTAATTATTTTAATATCACTATGAGTGGAAAAATAAATTGTATTTATCCTTAGGTTCCAAACGAATACAAAATAAATAACTTACTATTATTTATTTTTCTATTTTTGAACTGAAATTTCATCTTAAATCCCTGTAATAATAGTTGTTCTGCATAGTTTTTTTCTCATTGTGAAGTAGTTCTGTAAATGAACTGTTATTTAAATGAAAAAAAAAAACGTTTATTTTCCATGATTGAGGTAATGCTTATTCTCTCTTAAAATACTGCTTCTCATATTTTAAATTACAAGTCTAATTTAAGGTAGCAGTTGGTATAATGTAATTAGACAGGTGCTTATTTTTTTAACTAAAATGTGGCTATGAACACTGTAGTATCACCTTCTTTGAATAATGCGTCGTCTTTTGTTCCGATAAGAGCATTACTGATCCCGCACTTCTTAAAGGACTTAACAATTACTTCAGCCTTTACGTCCTCCCAAGATCTTTTTACCCACTCACAGTCCACCAGGAATGACAGCTATCTGGGTTTTTAATTATCTCGCTTTATTCTTTATGGTTTCAGTTCTATGTTCAGATGTAGAAAAGTTATGTGTGTAGACCTTTATCCGGGCTAAAAATAGCATTCAGTATTGAAGGTTAACCTGTGTCCTTCACGTATAAGACAGGTAACTTTTTTGGGATCAAATTTAGGAAAAAAAGTGCATCTTATATGCCGTCAAATACGGTAAATGTAAGTTTATGAAAATAGACTAAAATTGAGTAATTACACAAATTTAGTTAAAAAGTGCTGTTTAAATACAAGTTTTCATGACATCCAAAATTATGTGCCACTCAGAGGGTTAATCTGTCTTTTACAATAACTTGATCTATTTTATTTTTCCTCGTTGGAATTGAGGTAAATTCAGGTGAATTCAAAAGGGCCTAATTTTAAATTTTGCAATATTAGCAGTTATATACATTTGGAACAGTTCTGTAATACCTATGATGTTAAATACAGAGCCTAAATACAAAATATTAATTTATAAATGATGGAACTGAGGTATCTTGCCAATAAAAGTTCCAGTTGTAATTTTTTTTTTTTTTTTTTCTCTGCATAATGATGGTAACTTAGTTTTGTAGTGTGGGACTTGTGCGAATGTAATAGTTTTTATATTGGCTATAGAATGTGTGAAGAAATAGAAATGATGTAATTGTTTTGACAAAATGGTAGGTTGAATATACTGATATTGACAGAAATTTTTGTTGTCACTTCACTAAGCAGACCGAGAACATAGGTCCAAACCTTTAGGAATTTAAAATTTCGGGTTTATTTTCTGAAGTGTAAATTGACTAGAGACTTATGAACTGAGTATTAGTGACAGCAATTATTGATTTTTATTACTAATATTCTGGCTGTATCTTAAGTTGATGAGGGGAAAATAGCTTGTGATTTTTAAGAGGAATATTTACCTACAGTGAAACTAGTTATTTCATATTTATTTACATAAATATATCAAGTAACTTGATCAGAAATGTCTATGGTAATTGGAAGTTAATATGTTTGTGGAATAGTGAGGGATCTTTGAATGACATAAAGAAAGTTAGACATCATTATTTCAGTAAATTTTCGCAATTTTCTTTCTCAGTCTCTAAAAATATGGTTACCAAATTGACATTGGTCTATAAATTATTGATAGAAGATATATTACTGTAAAAGAAGCTATCTGGTAGAGTCTGCAACAGCTGTAAAATTCAGCATGTTGATGTTTTTATTAAAACAGTTTTTAAATATCTTATAAGGATATTACGTGTATCTCTTGTGCATTAAATAATCATGTGATATTACAAATTTATGTAAATGTGTGCTTTTACTAGATCTACAGATGGGATCACTGCTTATTTTGCTTTTTTGAGGCACTAAATAAATTGTGGATTTATTTATATACTGCTATTACAACATATGATTGTTTTTATAGAGTCTGCTCACTCATACAAAGAGAGCTGCAACTGAAAAGATCAACTTGAAATTCATAGACACTTCATCTAAATTTGGTCATGGAAGATTCCAGACTATTGCTGAAAAGCGTGCGTTTATGGTATGACGTTATTTTTATTTAGATGTAATATAAAATTGTTTTAACATTTCAGTCTATGCATAATAAACATTACTTACAGATCTATCAGGTCGTAACAAAAGTTTTCCGCCAAAAAATGTTCTTAAGAAAGTTAGGGGGGAACCTTTTGTGTGGCTAGTAATCACCACCCAAATCTAGGATTTTTTTTGCCAGTGTACCTTTTTCAAGTGAGGTTTGTGGATAATACCATGGCGATTCCACCAGATACAAAGCATAATCTTTTTGTTAGTCATATTGCACTGTGTGATGGTGCTCTCGGGTACAGACCAACGCGCTCCCTTTTCGTCCTGTGTTGTTGAAGTAAATCCACTTTTCATCACAAGTGACGATCTGGTTCAGAAATTTGTCCTTGTGTTGATGTTCAAGTAGCTTAGTGCAGGCGCGAACATGTCTGTCCATATATCTGCTTGATTCAGCTTATGCGGCACCCAGCCATCGAACTTGTACGTCAAGTTTATGCGATGCAAAATGTGACTAATGGCCATGGCACTAATGTCTTAACTTTTTAGCATGCTCTCGAGTGGTAAGTTCTTGCAGGTGAGCATCATTAAAATCAGTAGGCCGGCCAGAGCACTCTGCTTCTTGAATTAAAGTATCATATGATACAACATTAGTAACTAAAGCTGTACACATGATTTCTTTGACATTCTCTAGCTGACTTTTTGCAACAGAAATGGAAGTAAATGCTAGTTCCATTTTAAGCACCTTGTACTTAATGATAACTTTGACAAAATATAATTAAGCACGACAATGTGAACTGTTTGCACAGATGATATTTGCAGTGGCGGAAATTTTTGTTAAAACCCAATATTTTTGCTTACTTATGTAGGTTAAAAATTGATTAAAAATGCGTATTTAATGAGAAATCAGTAAGAATGTATATCAATGTATAGTCAGCTAAACCATTTTATAAGAATAATAGTTATAATGTATTTTATAAGTTCAAATAATTGCATATGGAATTATGATGCGAGTAGCTATCTTGGTGCCAACAGAATGTCAGCAATAGTCTAGTTTATAATGCTTATGTTTAACAAGACATCGTTTTTAGTTAAGCCACTTTGAAGGTTAGATGCAGTATGCTTCGTGAATCTTTAACTTGATGAGATTTTTATAAGCATCGTTCTCATAGTTAGGTAATGAGTTTGATGGCTTTATAAAATTTGACGATTTCTGTAGTATGCTTAAAGTGATTATAAATTGTACCCTAATGTTAAAATTTGCAGAAAATGCTGAGGACTTTTATTTAAATATAAATTATCAAGTCATCATCTATTAGAAGTCTGTACTTATTCTGGTGTTTATTCTTAGAATCATAGGCAGAGCAAACTGGCTATCTGTTAATGATTTATTGTTGTGTCATTTAGTCAGACTAGATAGTGTAAATAAGTTTAGTCTATTGTAATATCTTTATAAAAGGTCATCAGAATCGGAGTACAGAAATCTGGTAAATATGATCATAAAGAGAGCTTAACAAGAATCTGTAATTTTTAAAAAAAACTTCAGCTTCATTGCTCATAATACAGTGTTATAATCAATAGATATTTTTAACTTCATTTACACTGCAGCTTGACATGTGCCTAGATTATTGCCTAATACAGATGTTTCCAAAAGAACTAACAGTAATGGCAGAAACTAAATAAATTGTAACTAGCTCTGCTTACACCTACCATATCTTATGCATCGTATATAACCAGCCTTCCCTTCTGTGTCACAGCTCCTGCTATTCAGTGATAGGCAGTTGACCTAGTTTTTAGCATTGGATGAATCAAATCTTTTATACTGATTGTCTTTAAATTGTGACATGCAAATCAGTTTGAGTTTTGTTTTTAAATTTGCTTTCTTTCACAGTTCTTAAATACAACATGTTATTTATGTAACCATAGAAAATTTGTTATTAAAATAAATCTTTGCCTCATGACATATCAGTAACTATGCCAAGAATGTTTCGGTTAAGCTTGAACCTTTTATTGATCAGTAACTTATATAGGACATGATAACATAACTACTGATATTTTTCAAAAATAAACTCCGTTTAGGGTTGCCAAACATTTCCAGAACTGCTTTCAAAATGTCTTACAAATTCAGAGGGTTAAAATTTTTAGAAATTGCGTATTAAAAAAATCAGAATTTTCTTCAATTTTTCATTTGAACCTCTTTGTGGTTAAAATACGTTGTAATTGTGTTGTTTTTATTTTGCAGGGTCCGTTAAAGAAATATAAAATAAAAGAAGAAGCTGTTGCTCCTTAGTTCAAGCAAATGTATTTGAAAAAATAAAAATATGATATTTGAGTTACGAGTGCTGTTTTCCTGATGTTTAATTTTGTGTTTATGTAACTTAATTAATGCTAAAAGAATGTGCTGGTAATGGTATTTTAACCCTCTGACTGCTCAATTTGTAGACCAAAATCGCTTCAAAAAAAAATTTTTTTTTTTTTTTTTTTTTTTTTTTTTTTTTTTTTTTTGGTATATTTTAATCTCTATATATTCGAGAATTGAAAAATGCATTTTTCCTTTCTAGGAATATTTTTTCATATAGAAAAGAATTAAGTTGCTGGAAAATCCAATTTCAGATGTTATCACCCAGAATAATTTTTTAAAATAATTACAGTTAATTTCTATTTATTGCATAATATAAAAAAGTAAAATGTATAAAATTGAAGAAAATATAAAACACTGAAGAAAAAATTTCTTAGAAATGCAGTTAAGTAGGATAGAGTTCAAAACAGGGTTCAAAGTTCAATTTCACAGTCTGCACCAGATTCACTAAATCTAATTAATAATTCAATAATTTAATTAAATAATTAAGATAATCGCTCATTGTTTTTTAGCAGTCATTTCTGTAAGAAAAAAAGTGGAGTGTGAGCTGTAATATCACATGCCTTCAAACGCTGCAATTTAGTGGACAACTAACAATATTTGTTGGCCAAAGTGTAAACTAAACGTCTAATACTGTATATAATTTATTCCAGTGGTTAAATGGGATGTGCTGCTCAACGAAGGAAGAAAAGCGCAAGCCCACGGAAATCGTGGGATGAGCAGCCAGAGGGTTAATTATATGATATCATTAAGTTACAATAAAAACTCAAAGTATTTTATTAAAATATGCTATTTGTAAAAGAAGTGTGTGAACAAAATAGTTCAGCTCTTCAATCTTGAGGCTGGTTCTCTCAATTCAATTTGACAAATGTAATTCAGTAACTTCTGAATTCCTCTTGTGGATGAATAATTCAGCTGATCAGCAAAACCATGCAGAATGCAAGCATTCAAAAAAGCGCAATACACCACACTGATAATTCTGGCAGATTTTGCTGGACAGCTAAATTTAAACGATGTGGCAACGTTAGACATCAAAATAGTTTTAGTAGTTCATGTATTGCTGAAATTGCAACAACTCTTATATATTGGGCTTCAATAAAACATTTCCAAAGTTTTGAGTTAAAAATATATACCGTTTCAGGAGTAGACTTAAAATCATTAAAAATGCTAAGTTTCAATATTAGAAATTCAAATCTTTTTCTAAGTCTTATGGGATCTGAGGTTATTAATCATTCTTAAACATGATTGAATATAATTGATATGATCTCAGTATGGGTGATTTTCAACTTATTTTCTATGAAAAATCCTAAAAGGAGGTAACAGTTTTAAACAATTTTTCTCTATTAAATAGCAATTCCTTTGCAACATGCGCTATCCTATATTCAGAGTTGCCAACTCTCCCGATTTACAATATATTTGTCCCGACTTTTTCTTATTAAAATTTCTCAGGAATTTTATGAAACTTGGCTTAATACTTTGTTATATGAACAAAAAAAAAGTGATTTTGGACATCTGAAAGCAATTTAATTTTCTCTAGATTATATCTAAAACAAAACTTTCCGAATTAGATAACTTCTGCTTTGGGAGTGAGAGCATATACGTATCCAGAAACGTCGTTCTCCCATGGGCATCGTGCTCCACTGCGTGTCACCTGGCATATATTAACCAATGAGGACAAAGCAAGCTGTTATTTGGACATTCTTTAGTTATTTCGGTCATTTTGTCCTGAGTTGTGTGCCTTCGGAAAACGTTATCTTTTGTTATGTCTGCGAGAAATGTGAAATACTCGTGTATGTTTCAAAAATCGTACACAGTTGACTTCCATTATTTCCTCAAGGAAATTTAATAAATTTGCAATGTGTTACCGCCTGTCATTGCGATTTTTCGATTTCGCATGGTGGAAGGGCGGATGTTCTCAAACATGTGCGTACACAAGGTCAACACGAGTTGTTTTGAAAAAAAAAACGAAAAATTAAATTTTTCTTCATAAACAAAGGACAAAAAGGTTATTAATGCAGAATGTCTGTTCTCTGCCTCTTTACTGGAGCACAACCTGCCACTGAATGCATCGGATCACGCTGCAGCTTTATTTAGAAAAGTGTTTCCCTGATCGATGGTGAAATCGCTAAGAAATACTCAAGTGCAAGAACCAAAACAGGTGCAATTGTTAAAGAAATGGATTTGAAAAATAAATCTTCAGTTATTGATTGCATTAAAACAGCTCCGTTCTGCCTCTACGGATGGAAGCAATAATACCGATTCAAAACTGTATCTATTGTTTCTTTTTTTAATCCAGAATCTTCAGAAAATGAGTGCAGTTTACTTTGTCCCCACTTTAGAAGGACATTTGACAGGCTTTACTATAGCACAGCTAATTATTAAAACTTTAAAAGGAAATGTAGTCCCTCTGGATAATTGCGTAGCGCATGGTGCCGATGATTATTGGTAGGCTTGAAGACTGGTGTTGCAGGCATCTTAAGAAAGGAAAATTCAGATTTGCAGATTATGAGGTGCACCTGTCACCTCTTAACCCTTTGCGACACGCATATTTAAAATATATTTTAATCTTTAAAAAAATGCCTTAGAATAAGTCAGATGGACTTACTTAAGTGTCTTTAAGGCTTGAAAAAATTCTGCGCTTTTATTTTTACTGGGGAAGGTGGGATATTGTTTGTCCCACCATGCAACTAGCACGTCTTATAGCATATTGGTGTATAGCAGGAAAAAAAATCATATGTGGAATGAATAAACAAAATAAGCATGCATTCTAAAACATTCTATTATGAATGTTTTAGAATGCATGCTTTTATTTTGTTTATTCATTCCACATATGATTTTTTTTCCTTCTATACACCAATATGCTATAAGACGTGCTAGTTGCATGGTGGGACAACGATATCCCACCTTCCCCAGTAAAAAATAAAAGCGCAGAATTTTTTTCAAGCCTTAAAGACACTTAAGCATCGGACTATGAATTTTAATAGCGCAAATTTTAGGCATATATGCATGACTTGTAAAATTTTTATGCATATATATATATTTAATATTTTTAAATTTTAGGAACAAAAGAAAATATTTTCTTGAATATTATTTTAAGATTAAAATTTGATACTCGTACATATGATACTAAATAAAATATTAAAATTGGCACTTGATTCAAAAACATTTATATATGATTAAAATTGAAAAAAAGTCATTTTTCATGAAACTTTGAAAAACATGTTGTTTCATTCTTTTGTAAGCATAGAGGCACTTCACATGTTTCACACATCCAAAATGTTCGTCGTTCTTCTTTCGATGTGCTGCAATATGCACATCTTCTCCTGCTCGTTCTCTTTGGCGTGTGACTTACATTTTTTAGTCTCTTTTCTAGTTGTATGAACAAGTTTTTTTTTTTTTTTTAACTGGGGATTTCAGTTTTCTTTTCAGCTGTTTCTTGCCTGCAAGTGCCATTAGACCTTCTATAACTGAGAGAAGAAATCTTTCATTGTTTTTACATCATGATCGGGTTCGCGAACAAACTTAGTAAAAAAAAAAAAAAAATCATGTGCCACCATTTCTTCTTGCTTTTGCGGTCTATTTCATATAGTCCTTTCAGTTTATCAATCAGTCGACATATCCCATGTTCTTATTGTATGAAATAATGCTGTTTGGGCACAGTACTTTTTTTGTCTTTCCATCTCGTTCTTTTCTATTAATTTCTTTCATTTCAGTTGCCTTTTCCAAGCAAGACAGGATAGAAACGGATCTTTTATCCTTCCATTTTATGCAATAAATTGAATCATCGCTAACTGAAAAGTCTATATATTCTCTTGACATAAATTTGTGGGTAGATACTTCCGATTCATATTTACAGTGCCACATGCATAGATGGGTCTGTGTCTTTAAAAAGCGAAACAAATTATAACTACTTCCCTTTCTTCTTCAGCAATAACTTCAACCTCAGTTATTCTCTCCTGGATTTCAATTTCATCTGAAGCATTTGAGTCGCAATCGGATGGCAATTCAGCAAAAAGATCCAAAGCTTCCTGAGTTGTTAATTTTTTTCTAGACATTTTAGCACATCAGAGCATACAACGGATGTAAAAGCGCGCGCAATCACGAAAAAAGTAGATGCAAAAAAGAAAAGAAAAAATAATCGTGAGTGCTGCCATCTATTGAGCGGAAATTCAAGTGTGTGGTGGGACAAATTTTAACCCACTTATTTCAACTGCAAAATTAATGTTATAAAATATTGAATCCAATTAAGATTTTTGAAAATAAAATACCTTTGAATATTAAAAAGAATCATACATATCATAAATTGTATACCAAAATTTTTAAAATATTGAAAAATGCGAGATACATGGATATCACTCTTGTGATCCTATTTTGAATATTTTTTGCTTATAAACTTAAGCCCTGGTATAGTAGTAACATCTACTGAGAAAAATAATAACTAAAATAGATTATTTTTAAAAGATTAGAAAATTTCTAACGGAAATTGCTAACTGAGAAAATAAATATTAATTAGGTGGGACATATATTGACCCACCATGCCGCAAAGGGTTAATTTAGCAGCTGAAAGGCATCTTACATATTGAGACATATTTTAATTTATATTACTGAAGAGTCTAAAGGAAGGATATTGAAACAGTTTCAACACTGTGAACATTTTACATTGAAAACTGGGGAGTTTAAATCACTAGATTGACCCATGGATTAATTGGAAACGAAGGTCTGAGATTTTAAAATATAATGAGTGAACTAATTCAGAAGTCAAACAACAAAATCAGCGTTATACCTACAAAATTTTCACAGGACTAGTTTCGATGGTTCGGTAAAACTATCGAAACTAGTCCTGTGAAAATTTTGTAGGTATAACGCTGATTTTTGTTGTTTGACTTCTGAATTAGTATTAATTCGGCGTGTTATTGTGTCTTAATTATAGTGAACTGTCTAGAATTATGTTGGCCATTTTGACAGTTCCCCATAGTA